TCCAGTTATATCACGGAGTGTCAGCTTAATGTGTGAGGAAAGCCCGAAGTGATGCAGGTCTCAGACGTTTACCACTTCGGTGAAACCCACGAGCACGGGTATGGTGCTGACAAACCTAGAAACATAATCAGGGGAACCGGGATTTGAACCCACAATCATAGGTTTTTGGCGTACCCAAGGGACGCAACTCTGCACAGCGAATCGCAGCGCCTTAGACGACTGGGCCCCCCGTGCCCCCGACCTTCTTGAGACACCACAGAGAACAGTATCTACGTACCTCGTATGGCGGCAATGCCTGGTACATCTCCGACGTGGTTGATGACCTGTGTAAATAGATTGTGGTCACTATACAATTACAAAAGAACTGTTGTAAACAGAGCATGCCCATGTTGTCCTCTGTCTGATGAGGATGATGAACACTTCATCAGAATCTGCCCGTTCTGTGAGACCAACGAAGTAGCGTTTTAATCTTGCCTATGGAATATACAAAAGAAATTAATAATTTCGAAAATTCACAGAAATATGTTCAGTTTAAAACACCTTGCCGGGTTTAAAAATGTCTTGCTGATATGTTATATGAAATGAATAAAAGAAAACGTCAGTGTATACTTGTGTGTTATAGTGTCTTTCAGGCAATACAGGCCATACGTTACATATGTCTGCATTACTGCAGACAAACGTGTTCAGATCCTGAACACAAACTTAAACACGTTCTTGTCCCGTAATTATGACATGTTTAGGTCTTACCATGTTTAACAGCTAAACGTGTTTAGAGTCTAAATGTATATCCCCTTTGAAATTCATTGGAGGTATTATTAAATAAGGGCGCTTTCTATGTCTTCATTAGCGTTTAATGGGGATACAGAAGTGAGCTAAAGGTTAAGGGTATATCGTTGTAATCAGATATATTTTTAATGTCACCTTCCTGTTTGAGATAAGTACTACTAGTCATAGAGCAACATCACATGTATGATATACCTCGCGGGATACGAACCTGAAATCTCTCGATTTGTAACCCTTCGCAATACCACCTGTGCTGCGGAGGGAGACTGTTGTCGCCCCAAGCGTCAAATTTCCTCAGCACCATTAACCGAGTTTGGTTAAGTTGTACATATTTATGTTAATATTACACCAAGTTCGTTGTGAGTCCTGGTGGTATATGTGTTATGCAAGTGCCTGTGAATCTGATTTGCACATCTAATTTCACTATACATCTTATCCATATTTGACTTATTACCTAATGATATGGACTTTATTGAAACATGTGACGTAGTGCGTCTTTTGGGTGACGTAGCTTGTCTTTTGGGTGTACTACTTAATCGGGGGAATTAGCGGTAGCAGCGGTCACGGCTGGCTATCACCTTGAAGAACAGAGAAGGCTGCTGAGTTTAAACGTGTTTTAATTCGAATCATGTTTAGAATATGGCATGGGGATGTTGTGTTTTGGTGGTGTTTAAGCATTGAGACGATAGCTCATTTCATGTGTCTAGACCTAATGCATTTGACATGTTTAGGTCTTACCATGTTTAACAGCTAAACGTGTTTAGAGTCTAAGTGTATATCCCCTTTGGAATTCATTGGAGGTATTATTAAAAAAGGGCGCTTTCTATGTCTTCATTAGCGTTTAATGGGGATACAGAAGTGAGCTAAAGGTCAAGGGTATATCGTTGTAATCAGATATATTTTGATTTAATCAGAACACACCAAATGTGTATTCCGTCTAGGACTGGATCACACTCCGAATCATGTTTAGATCTAATCATGGCTTGCCTGTGCTTACATCCTAAAGACATTTTTACAGTGTATGTACATGAAAAAAATATACCATAAGAAATTCTAATTAAACTTATGCATCGTCTTCTGTCATATTGAGAAAATACTGAACCTCTTGCAGTTAATGGACACACATTCTCTTACACTTTTTGAGCATATGAAATCATATACTTGTATTTTTAATGTTCTATTGGCACTCCTTAATAATGTCCCAAAGACGAAAAGGTTTAGTCCTCAGTTTCATCCTTTTGACTGAAGTTATCTTTGCACCGCTTATAGAAATATTTCAGGCAAATCAGGGCGGGTGACACCAGAAATGGATATAGATGTATTGTTTGATGGGCATTCCTTATAGTTGACGGATGACAAAGTACACACAATTTATGGATAACAACTTCTTTAATTACTGTAAAGGCGACATTTCGGTATAGATCTATACCGAAACGTCGCCTTTCTCTACAGAAGTATTGTACTCAAGTGTGGAGAGCTAAGTTTAACCGTTTGCCTACATTGGAAATGCACCTGGTCAATAAAACCTTGATAACTTCGACTCAAACTTTATTGGCCTGATAGATCGGTTAAGTCGACTTAACAGTATGGTTCAGTCACAATCAGTATTGGGACTATGGTCTAATGTCACGATCTCCCGTGGAGGTCGAGGAAGATTAATATATCACATACAAGTGTATTTTCGCATCTGCGACTATCTTCTGTGACGCTTACGGTACCGATCCCAAGATAAGATTTACCAAGGACGCTACATGGAATAGTGACCATGACCTTCACCTGGGACCGGAAGTACAGTAACTCTACCAGTCCACTCACACCAGGTTCCACCATTGAAATTTCAATTTGGGACTCCAATAGTTTGTTGCACTCCCACTCCCAATAGATGTAGGATTGTGACGTCATTTTATTTTATTATTATTCGTTTAACTTTCCAGAGAGCATTATATAAATAAACACTTGATGAAATATTTTATATCGGTTAGAACGAATTTGGAAAACAATCGCAAGGCGATATTAACGTTCAAATATGTCCCTAGTTATTGGGGGATACAGTTTAGGAAAGAAACGGCATTGCATAATAGCAGACCTTGATTACAGTTTTAAAGGCGTGGAGAATCACACGAGGTCTTACCTGTAACGTAAACACTTCTAAGTTAAAATATTACTGTAATTATTTCTTTTTTTAAAATTTGTCATCATCGCTGTGAAACGTTAAAACTAAACTGCCAGGCAAAAGAAATCATACGCTTGAAAACTGGATTTGACCAAGACTTTGCAAACGTTATAAAACGTTACTTGGCTGAAAACAGTCGCCGAAAAACTGCAAACATGATGTCCAAAACATATCTATGATACTCGCATCAAATACATCACCATGGAATAACCGAGTGTTTCATTTTAGACACCGCCAAACATGGGCGGGTACTTTCTTTTGCCCGGCAGTTTACATCAAATCAGTAACTACATAAGAGGTAAACGTTATTCCATTTGCAAATGCGTTTGTCATAGTTAATGTCTTACCTATGTAACTATGTAACGCCCTCCTAATATATCTGTGTATCCAGTCGGAGCAAAATATTTTGATTGTCATCGGACGTCAATCTTCGGACCCAGTCACCTATTCATTAAAGTGCAAGGTCGTTCTGTAATAACATGGTCCCTCAACAAATACCTACATCCTCCAATGTATCATGTTCCAACTTGTGAAATAAATGATTAGACCAAGGCTACGTATGAAACAGTCAGGGCCCCTCGTTCGCACAGGCAATGCTATGTTTCAAATTGTACCCATGTAGATCTTCGACGTGAAGAGCAAACGCTTTAACTACTGAGCTAAATGACCTCGACATGCCTTGCCAGTAAACATCCCAATTTTCACGGGTATGAAAATTATCTCTCGAGCGTCCATGGTTGAAAGTACCATTCGAAAGTGTAAATGAAAACTAGACTAAAAGAAAACAAGAACAACAGATTTAACAACTTGTTCTGGTTGCTGTATGGCTGAAACTATGCGCGAGCGATTTTAAATTTACACTCACTCACTCATTCATAGTCACCCTGGCGATTCATCTTGAACAGACTTCAGGTGTCATCAATGATGAGAACAAGGATGGGAAGTTTCAGCTTCATCGTTGCAGCGGTTTCTGAGGAGACGCCGCCGTCAACGACGACAACAACGATACCGGGCGCCGAACAAGAAGGCCATGACATTAGCTTACTTGACTTACATAACAGTCAGGTAAGCTAAAATTGAGCACATGATGACAAATGCATATATATTGAGTTTCTGTTCGACGCCCATTGGGGGGAACCTGAGGTGTGGCTTTATCAAAAAATAAAAAAAGATTTTGTTGATTTTGATGTATTTATTCATCACCAAGGGAGACACAGAACGACATATACAGTCAACAATACCCACGGTGGGATTTAACAAACAATAGTCACATCGTGTCTAACATCATTGGTATGTCATGTTGCCATTAAATATTACCACTCCTCATGATGCGGAGTTCGATGCTTGTGCGTATTTTGACGACACCGCATGGAAATGGATATTTTCAAATAACTCACACACCCGTAAAAATAATAAACATGGCAAACTTAGGATTTACATATGTACATACAATACACACTCGTTAACCGGAACTCAATTACTTCGATATCGTTTACGATTTAACTTTTAAGGGCAAAATCTAAACATGTATTGTCTTACAGCGTCACTCGCTTGTGAAGAATTATTGTTTTTGATGATTTCGAGTTAACGAGGATTCACTGAGTAATATTATTTACGTTTCTCTTTGGAACAAGCAATATAAATATTTACAATACGCAGGAATGATACTTTGCACTATAAACATAACAAAACAAAGAATAACATCCAATAACAAGCCGGCATCCTATGAGATTAGCAATAATAAATTCATACACTAGCACCAAATTATTCTCAATGTGAGCTGCACTTTAAGTGATCTTGATAGTTACCATATTGTAATTCCATCTTTTATTGACTGTATGGACATGTTGGCATTCCAAAAGGTTAGGGATCAAAAACAATTTGGGGGATATCTTTCTGTCGTGAAGACCGAGCACGCAATTTCCAAATAATATCTAAAAATGTGTCATGATCCCTAACATTTTTTGTTCAGTATACATCATAATATGACACCAATTGGCAGTCAGGGTCAGTCCAGGGATCGAAATGGAAGGATATATTTTGATTTCGGAAATTCATCTTAATACATTGTTGGTGTGTGGACACTTATTGCATTTAGTATAATCTCAACAGAATACATTGATTGATACACATCAAACCATCAGATGAGAAAGAATCATTTCTGGAACATCTAGATCGATTTATGGTACACTTTAGTAGGGCTATGCCTGGTCTAAATTTACAGAAATCAACACATTCATAGATAGCCGGCTTTTTAACTTGTCAAGGAGCACATAATTTAAATTTGAATAATTTCTCTAATTCCTTATCGGAAATTTAGTCATGACTTAGCCACCTCCTGATGTGGATGTCCTAGACCAGAGAATACAATCTGATCGCCCATTGTAGCGGAATGTTCCTTTGCTTTTAAGCGAAGAGCATCAATACTAGATTTTCTCATGTCCAAACTCTCGTTTTCAGGCGAGATTCTCGAAGGCGCGAGATTTAAAGGTGATGATGTCACGGCCGCCATTTGGGATCCCATGAACATGTTTTGAACGGGAATGTTTCCAGCCGCCACCATATAGTTCGACAGAAGTCCACCAAAAGGTGTCACAGCCTTTCCTTGGAAATAGTGAGACGGCATTCCACCGATGTGGTTGATAGCAAGCATGGGGCTGATGCCGGTGAGATTGGGAAACCGGGCGGACCAGAAGGGGTCAAGGGTCGACTGCAGGGCCATTGGTGGACCCCCGAGAGGTGGGAGGTCGGCTAGTGATTGGGGAGATTCTCCAGACAGAAAATTGGGACTTTCTCTTCCAAGAGCTTTCTCTCTCTTTCTCCACTTGGCACGGCGATTTTGGAACCAGACCTGTAAATAATAAAGCAAGCGTGAACAATGTGGCAAGAAGATCCCAAGTTACGACAGAGGCAGGAAATGTCAGCTTTACTGGCACCTAGAGTTACATTCCGAGATTATGATCCACAAATACCACAGATAAAGATGCAAAGCTCATAATAGGCGTAAATTGGAAAATGAATTCCATATATTTGTCTGAGGCACTTCTGACAGAAAAATGTGATGTTTTAGAAGGGGGGAATAATTTGGTAGGTTGCTTTTAACTACTTAAAGGTACGGAATTCAAGACGAAGCAGCTTATTTAACGTGAATGTTGTGTGTGTGGGGCGGGGGTTCTTTTGTTCATGCACAGTGTGGATGAAAATTGCAAGAAGACAAAATTGTGGCTACTGCCTTGTGGCACTTGAGCACTGTGTTTATTAATATATAAGGGCAATCACATATATTACTCGTTTCAGCTAGAGCTAGCAGGATAGTACAGTTGTGTTTGATTGACCCGAATAAAACTTTATGTAATAAAATTAGTCTGTTCCAAATTCAAATGTTGTTTGGTTATTTCAACGATAAGTTTCTGGCAAAACAATCATCATTTTAGAAGTTCAACAAAATTACAAATTTCGTTGTGGTGCATTTAATTATATTATGTAAACATTAAAATTAAAATCAAGAATATTATTCCGTAAACATATTTGGTTTCAAACCATACATTAGACGTTGATATAAAAACTGCCAAATGATGCTATTCTATTTCACAAATAGAAACAAATGTTCGCTTGATGGGCGATAAAGTAATTGTATAACGATCATAATGAAAATTGCTCGTCGTTCCATCAGCAGTATCGGGGAATCGAATGCCCGGTTACACGTTCAACTAAATCTGGCTGCGGCGGCTGATCACTCTATTATCAATCTTATTGCCAGCAACAAGACACAAGCTCTTCACTACAGAGGCAATTACTTGGCCAAGCAAATCCAATCATTCTCTAAATGGCACCCTAGGCCACATCGCGAGTATGTCAATACTGTAGAGGCTATGGAATCTATACAAGGCTTCACGTGGTGCAGTGATGTCCGACAAAGTCCAACATCGCCTTCTATATCATGGCAATTATTATCATGATTTAACTACATAATGACAAGAGCCATCAAATGTAATTACTAATTCCTGACCTCCGAGACTTAGATTAATCAGGAAATAGTTCCGTCAATTAATAATTTCGAAGAAGACGTCGAATTTCATGGTTTGAAAATTGCATTTATTGTAATGAATTTTTGCTCTATGAAATTTCTCCTAATCACCTTCATGAAAGATCAGAATGAAATCTTACAATGTTTTGTGACAAGGTTCATTTGCGGTAACGTGAAGTTTGCAACTCATTAAGCTTTGCGTTTACATAAAGCGGATTGGGGCTTTTCTTTTAATCAATAGTGTTTAAGACAAACGCGGCTAATTTGTAGAGTTTTGGCAAAACAAACTGAAAGTCCGATCCGGTTTGGGAGATGCCATAGTGTCGAAAGGCTTACTGGGATTTTGCTCGATAATTTCTTGAGAATGAGGGCAACGCTACTAGCCTAGTGGCAGCAGCGTCACCGGATACAGCAAAGCACTGTGGGAAATCCCTCTTGTCGTATTAAGTGATAATCCCTTTTCAGACTTCTCCCTTGCGAGAAGTGGTGAGCTGGAGGTTGTCAGAATGTTGAGGAATCAAAAATGACCTTCACAGAAGGCGGGGGTGGACACCGTTATATTCGAGGAACACAAGCGATTGGAAAGAAAAGTTGATAAGATTCATCTATTCTGCTACTTTTCGCACAGGTGGCGAAGATACGATTTTGAAAAAAACCTTCAACACTTCGGCGTTTTGATTAAAATTCGTATTTCATCTGAGTTTGTAGTGACACTTTAGGAAACTAGTATTCCGGGAGCAATTTTATAACAATCAAGATTTGACTAATATACAAAATATATAAGTAGGTGCATTGTAATTCATAACAAGAATCCGAACGAACAGTTAAAACATATTACCTATTATAGTGTTTTATTTTGGATATGAGAAGAAACATAAGCCATGCTGGATGCAGAGAATGAAATGTGTGAAAAAAACGATAAAAAAGCGCTTCCTAGGACATCGAAAACAAACTCAAATATAGAAGCGATATCATTTTCGTAGAGGATGTTTTATATATTCAACGAGTAGTGGTGTTACGCCGTTTTAAACCTCACGAACACGTTTCTAGTTTCCATACACGAAGATTTAACAGTCTCCTGATAATTGAGTTGATGTTCAAGGAAGATACCTGCTTAGCAAGAAGCTGCGCTAATGCACTAAGGTGTGTATGACCTCGGGGTGAAATCTTAGCAGCCTATTTTCATTTAATGATCAAAATGATTACTTTAATACTTTAATTAGGGAGCTAGGTAGACATTTCGACTCTGACAAATTAAGACGGAGGTGGAGACGTGAAGAGGGCATGATTCAAAGCGTCCGAAACGGAGCCCCCCTCATTAGTCCCCCTCCCTGCTGCGGGAGAGAACCCGGACAACAGACCGTCATCCACCCGGAATAACCTGATTGGTTGGCAGGACAATGGGTGCAAGCGATAGGGGAGATCACGATACCTCTTGAAGCAAGAAGAAGGGCTATTTGGTCGTCAATTAGATGATTAGCGCTCGGGAGTGTGAGACAACCCTGGGGGTGGGGAATAGGGTAGAAGAACCGGCTACCCAGAGGAGGATTCTAAAGCACTAATGAGCTCTTCGACTTTCGGCGTTTATTTCATGATGCTTTAGTGGAGGGGAAAGAATGGTTTGATTGGCACCGTCTGGGGTTACTGGACAAAGTCTTCGTCACAAAATTGCCCTGTCAATGAGGGTTTACTGCATAACATCACCATAACACCTGTGAACTTGTAACCCATTGTTGGTGACTGAATGAATCTTAAGCCATGGTGGGATAATTGTTCTGTAATACTTTATAATTGAACGCGTGCAGTGATGAAGACAGAGTTCAACCGCAAAGTACAAGTCATCAATTGTTCTTGAAAGAAGTGATCCTCAAACACAGATATGCTCAAGAAATGCCTCCTAAATATAACCAATTTGGAGTTATAGTTTTATTGATATCGTCTAAATTTCATGTTTTACAGACAACGATTACAGACGGTATGGTCTTCAGCAGATAATTGCTCATATATCCAGATGGCCACAGTATAAGATATGGGGTCTGTAGTTTAACATGACTTCCAAGAAAATAATGTGTACAAAAACACACTTCTACTGATTTTCCATAAAGTCCATAAGGAACTCTAAACAACTCGAACTGAAACAAGTAGACTCGCGTGATTCCTTCCCACGTCAACCTAAAACCTTTCTCTTTACACAAGCTTATTGACTTTTTGACTGTATTTCACAAGTGTTTTTTCTGTAAACCGCTACTGTAAGCTAGGAGGCTGAGCGTATATATGTCTATTATTATTATTATTATTTTATTATCGGGAGTACATTGGATCGGAAGACCTCGTATTTTAAGACGATTATCACCACTTTGTCAACGCTGATAAATCATTATCTGAATTATGGTTATCCTTTGTATATAAATTGTTTCATCTTCTTTGCATTGTATGTTAACTATTCAAAGAGTATGTGTTTTGCATGCATATTTAATATTGTTTTCAGTACCAATTAGTATGCTACAGTAAGCGATCATTGTGAGAAGGAAAATTGCTAAGAAAACGATATTGACATCTTTGTGAATATAATTTCATTGACGTAGATTTTACTCTGATGTCAACAATTAAATGTAAAACGTCAACGACAGAGAATAACCAGTCTCGATTATCCACCGACACAGATTACATTGGGCGTAAAAGGTAAAATAGGTAAATTATAGGAACGGATCACTGAAAATCAATGATGACACCAGGTGTTCGCGAAAAACAACCCATTATCATGTGTGTATATTTACCTGTACGCGTGCCTCGCTGAGCTCTAGCCTCATGGCCAATTCTTCCCTTGTGAAAACGTCTGGGTATTGGGTCTTCTCGAATGCTCTCTCTAGCTGGTGCAGCTGGAACGTCGTGAACGTTGTTCGACTTCGCCGGATTTTTCTGGGTTTGGACCCGTTGTCCTCAGCCTCAGAGCCAGTGACATCAATTCCCCGACCCTCATCAATCTCCTCCATGGAGGATTCATCTTTTACATCACCACGGGGCGACCCGTAGCAATCTCGCACCTCATCACGGGGGGACCCGTAGCACCCTTCTCGAACCTCACCATGGTGGGACCCATAGCAGTCCGGCCCGTCCCCCCGGGGTGAGCTGTAGCAAGAGTCCCGGTGTAGAGCGTGCGGGCTGTGTAAGCGAGTCTCCGACAGGCAGTGCGGTTGGGGAGAACCTGCTAATACAATATCAAGTTCTTCACTAACCATGAGACATCAGTGCATGACATCAACAAGCAACAAAACAATATTCAGAAAGCATATTAAAACATGATTGTTTCAAATTGTAAAAAATCAATTTGTGAAAACATTTTTCTTCAGCATCGTGCAAGGATGGAGTTAATTGTGTGCTTTTGGTCTCCTTGTTTTGTGAAGAATAATGGTCAAGGAAGCGGTAATCTTCTGTGGCACCGAAGCCTAACGTGTGAAATACTAAAGTATTTTAAATGTACAGTCTGCATCTGCTTCGTCCGTCACAATATTGTGTTTCATCAATCTGTTTGTAAAAATATGAATGACATCAGAAAATAGTTTTTCTCTAAAGTTTGATTTCTCTTTAACGACAACTTTTTCTAACGTGTTACCATTTCAAATAACAGGAGAAAAAAAACCCATTAATATTTGCTTGACACACATAATAATGTGATTACGTGTTACACAACTGTGGAAGTCAACAGTAGAACATATTGTAGGATTCTAGTTGAAGGAACTCTTCCGCCAGTATTGCAACAATTTATTTATATTTTACATACAATATTTTGGATTAAAATGATTATTCTTGTTTCATACTTTTAGTACATATAAACAAATTTCATCTAAAAACAACACGCATAAAAAACCTTACCAGCTTTCCCATAAAACACCCAATGAGCATCTTATCCATATATCTGTGCTTAATAAAAATCCTACTCATTTTATACACAGAAATATACGCGACAAAATCCTTTCCATAAAAACGTATATTTCTTTGTATCTAAACACACTTATACCCCTATTCCGTCATATATATAACTATAACTATTTATGTAACTGTATATAAGGAAACAGCAAGTGCGCTGAATAGACTGCCACATGCATTAAGTATCACATAAAAGGCATATTAGGTTTGTTTTAGTATAGTTTCATGTAAAGTGACATATAACTTATAAATAGTAAAAACAAAACCTTTCAACTGATAGTTAATATTATCGTAGTTTTTACACATGTAAATAAAGTGAAATTGGTCTAACGCAGATGTGCAAGCGTTCAAAATGTGTCACCATGAAGCTAGTTGTGACAAATCGTCCAACTAAATATCAACTTATTTGAAATATCCATATTTAACCATTAAATTTGAAAATGTAAATTGTATCAATGTGGTACCAGTTTGTGGCTGAAAAATAATTCTTTTTTTTTTCAGTTTTAGGTATTTTCTGTGTTTTTTTAGCAAGTACTATTTTGCATTACAAGCCTTAAAAGCATTTTCTGAAAATCATTATGAATTGTATTAAGTAATTATAGTAGACAACGCTTAAACGGGCACTGGGTGCATATATACGTGAAAGCAAACCACTTAAAAACAAATGAACTCTTTTACATTCTCATCAATTACAACGATATCGAAATGAACTCTCATGCATATCCTAACAACGTCAACATTGGTAGTAAATATATCTAGACTTAATGCACGATCTGAATCACATCAGTATTTTCTAAGAGGGAAGCGTGTTATAAATATATCAGGGATAAAAAGACAAAACACCATTTGAAATCTGCTAAGAAAGAATATTAATGTAACCGAGAAGAAATACATGAGGTTTATAACGAAACTACTGCGTACGTGAATGTAAGATTGATTCATAAAAATATGACGTGGAATTGCAATAATTTTGATGCACCTGTTTGGATAATTTTTTATATAAAAATGAACTCACCGTTAAGACGCAATTCACAATTTGCTTCATTTGAACTGTCTTTAGATGGGCTTCTACCCAGGATGCTGTCAATGCTATACGACTTCATCTTGCGCTGGGCTGACGGACTGGTTGTGTTCAGGTCCGTGTCGGAGTTTAGAGTTCCGTCCATGCCGTGAAGCGACAAATAATAAATCCAAACAGTGAAATTGTTCTGTGAGTTGACGATATGACTCACTGAGAGATCTCTGAAATGCTGACTGAACAGGCTGCCTTTTCCTTTTATCTGGACCAACGTGTCAACTCGTATCACGAATACTTTGTTAATGTAATTAGCGCTGCATTGGTAATCTTCTAATCTAATGTTTGTTTGCAGAGCAAGTCAAGAAGCGAACATTTCTAACGGGTGCGCTGATTGGTTGAACGTCGCTTTCCGGAACTCGTTGATTGGCTACTCGCCATTTCACGCCGACTGGTCAGGAATGATCTTATTTGTTGAACTAAGTAGATAATTTGGACTGTGAGTCTGAACATTGATTTAGCCTGCCTCGCGATCAGGAGGGCGGAGCTAATAATTGGGATCGTATTTCCCTAAAACCTGCCACAAACTAAAGCGCCTCTCTATTGCAGCTCAGGTTGAATTACAGAAGAATTGAAATGATTGTTGGAAAGAAAATTCTGTAGCCGACCTCCATGGGGGTCTGCCATAATCTTCCCCCTCGTACAGTGGCGACAAGCCTATGACTTCATTAGCAGCAACACCCCTCGGCTAAAATCTTTTGTCATTTTTCATCCCCGACTGACTCCCGAAATTTAACAGAAAAGCTATTTTTCACCTTTAAGTTTGTTTCTAAGCCTCGCGGTGGGGGAGTGGATTTCCTTGAGTTTACGTGTGTCAACCTGGTATTATAGACTTATACATTAACTAACACAACACGTACCCTCATCCTATAGTACTCAATCGGGTGAGAAGAAGTCATTTTATCCTGATAATATCCCAATGTTCAACAGAAACAGTTGACGATTGGCTAGTCTGTTGTATTTTTGGTTTGTAGGAAAGTATTGTATTTGAGGGGCACACAAATATTTTTTATGTAATCACGACGTGGGAATTATTGTGTTAGTGGAAATATCTGAAAATCTTTATCGGGATTGCTAGAAACAGTTAGATGTGGTTTTCACAAATAAAGCTTGAAGTAAAACAGTTTGAAAGAATATGGAAACGTTAGTTTGTTTTTTGTTTAACGCCGCACTCAGCTGGCCAGTTCGTGGCCAGTTCGTGGGTCCATCAGTATACCTATTTATATCTCAGTATACTTGTAACATACCCGAATGCTTGTTACATGAAAAATATAGCTGGAATATTGCTGAGTGCGGCGTTAAACAACAAACAAACAAACTCTGAAAAATCACATGTTGTACCTCTACATAAATGGTCTTTAGAAACCTATTAAATTTGACTAAAACTATAAAACGATTACACGTATCGAAGTTTGTCTATCCGCAATGGTTGCAAAACTCAAGAGTCCTTTCTGGACAGGTTCAGCGCTCAAAGAAGTTTATAACCGCATTATGAAGCTGACTAATTAAATCTGCTGAGTACAATCACATAGCGCTAAACTAAATATGTGTGAGAAGTTTCCCTCTTTCTGTGAGAAGGGCTGTTTAAAGCACGATACAGGCAGGTAATGCTCCTTATGGAAACTATCTCAGAAAATGGACGCTTTGCAACTTCTTTATTGCTAGAAAAGAATAATCTCTTCCTGTTGGTAAATATAAATATGAAGAGAAGTAATTTAGTTAATAGGTTGAGTGAAGGACCCACATGCATGGTAACATAAAACTGGTGATTGTAGAGGGAGAATTATCCCAAATGTTCACTCAACTTCCCTTTGAGAATTTACTGTCCTACGAGACGCACATAGAAACGATTTAAGCAAGATTCACTAAGAGAACTTTGGGCAGAAATTATCAGCGTTCATGGTGGTTCGGACGTGTTCTGTGCAGACTAACACGTACATCGAAATGACAGCAGTCGCGGGTCACAGTGACACACATGTATAAATACATTTGTTTGTTGTTTTACGCCGCACTCAGAAATATTCCAGCTATATGACGGCGGTCTGTATGTAAATAATCGAGTCTGGACCAGACAATCCAGTGATTAATATCATGCGCATCGATCCACGCAATTGGGACCGATGACATGCATCAACCAAGTCAGCGAGCCTGACCACCCGATCCCGTTAGTCGCCTTTTGCTACACGCTTGGGTTGCGGAAGACCTACTCTTCTGACCCTGATCTTCACAGGTCTGTATAAATATAAGTTATGCTGGAAATGACTATCCTCAACTAACTTTCTCACATACAAACTGTGAATTGTAGAACAGCGAGAACTGGTGTGTCAGGGAAGTATCGACTTTCTGATGCTGACTATCGATACGTTAAAAGAAGTACAGGGCGAACCTCGCTCCCATCAATCCGTGAAACTGACAACCCGGAAAACTTTAATGAGAGCGGGACCCGTGAAGATTCCGGGATAGAATAGGTCTTCAGCAGCCCATGCTTGCCGTAAAAGGCGACTATGCTTGTCGTAAAAGGCGACTAACGGGATCGGGTGGTCAGGCTCGCTGAGTTGGTTGATGCATGACATCGTATCCCAATTGCGTGGATCGATGCTCATGATATTAATCACTGGATTGTCTGGTCCAGGCTCGATTATTTTACAGACCGCGGTCATATAGCTGGAATATTGCTGAGTGCGGCGTTAAACAACAAACAAACAAACAAACCTTCATAGAAATGTTGGTGTTGGGCGGTATGGTTAACGAAACAGTCTGGATATAGACTGTCCAAAACGTTTCGCTTGTGTGGGGTACTGCTTGGAGCTCCCGTATCTCTCGGGGCTGCAAACACTCAATAACGCCTAACCCCCTTGCATCGACACAAGAGGCCGTTGTCTGATAGCAGTGAGGGTGTCGTTGCTGTCGACGCCCATCATTGGTTCTTTCCCGTGCCACTGCTGATACGCACATTATGAGTTGATAACATACTGTACTCCTAGGCTTTAAGTTTACGTTTTATAGATTCGCTAGACGTTCTGATAGGCGGCATTATCCGATGTTGTACACAGCCCGAATCCCGTGAAGATCCGGGGTAGAATAGGTCTTCAGCAACCCATGCATGCCATAAAAGGCGACTATGCTTGTCGTAAGAGGCGACTAACAGGATCGGGTGGTCAGGCTCGCTGACTTGGTTGATGCATGTCATCGTATCCCAATTGCGTGGATCGATGCTCGTGATGTCAATCACTGGATTGTCTGGCCCGGACTCGATTATTTACAGACCGCCGTCATATAGTTGAATGTAATATTGCTGAGTGCGGCGTTTAACAACAAACAAACAATCAAACAAACAACACAGACCGAACTTTGAAGAGAGTATACGCGTATATGATGAAATACTCTGAAACAGCTGTTTGGATCTCAATGTAGTATATCTGGTACAAGTACAGTATAATCGTCAGAAATCTTATCGACACATAGTTACTAGTTCTGTTTACGGCAACCATTTTTGAAAAAAAATCTTTCTTTTTGCAGTAATTCACTTATAATATCTTTGAAGATAATGAAAAATGGAGGTATACTTTGGTCGATATTTCCCGGTATATCAGTGCAACATATCAAACAATACCTCGAGGAACATTAATTGTTCATTGTTTTCTCACCTATAGAACATATTCATCCTAAGTTTGTAAAACCTCATATGTTACGAATAGTAGACGACCGGAGGCCCTCTGCGCGTGCTCAATGATAGAAAAAGCGATATAATAATAACATCAAATCAAAGAGTATACCTCATCCCAAATAATTTGTTTTTTAACGTTTTTACGTGTTCCGAATAGGTGTTATGGAGGGGTGAACATGGGAATAAAAAGTAGATAGAGTAATGACCTATACATAAAAAAATATGTTTTGTGACTATGATTTAATTTATTTTAAATCAACAGGAAAACTGAATTTTGAAAAGCCCAACAACCAGTGCCATATCTTGTTCTTATACACAAGATGGCGAATGTTGTGCAATGTTCATCGATTCTTAAGAAATGATCTAACGCGGCATTGACACACCATATCAACACACATGCGTTGCTAACAGTTAAAAATATATGGTGAAACACTGTTAATCACCAGTAACAAAATTATGCAAATAAAAAAGTTTTTGACAGCTCCAGTTAATGAAAACGAAAACAAATTCCAAGTTGAATTATCGTGGCTATTGTGTAGGTGTCAGGGACAAATAGACATTGATTGTTAAACAAACTTGTCGATTACACGGTGACGCGTGGTCAATACGGCATTACCGCCCGTCTCTGTCAGTTCTCTCATTAACTGACCATTCAGCTGGCCAGTTCGTGGGTCCATCAGTATACCTATATATTTATCTCAGTATACTTGTAACATACCCGAATGCTTGTTACATGAAAAAATAATACGTCGATCATTTGTTTGGTGGGTGTCTTCGGAAATTTCATCAGTCGCTCGTCATTGCGTTGTCAATTTGAAATGTACACGAAATGCATGTGTACATGTTATTTTTTCGTAAAAGGCGACTAACGGGATCGGGTGGTCAGGCTCGCTGACTTGGTTGATGCATGTCATCGATCCCGATTGCACGGATCGATGCGCATGATATTAATCACTGGATTGTTTGGTCCAGACTCGATTATTTACAGACCGCCGTCATATAGCTGGAATATTGCTGAGTGCGGCGTAAAACAACCAACCAACCAACCAACATGTTATTTTTATGTTATATATCCTGTCACTAAGTCTTTCTTAACGTGGAAGTGGTAGATCGATGCGATAGATGGCAGGTATGTGGAGTTTTTTATAAGGAGAGAATCAATATTCACTCATGGTCAGATGCTTTTAAAAAATCGTTTTTAGGGAGTTGCTAGATGTAATAAATATTTTTAAAATTGATTTAAGCGGTACAATTTTCTTTGTTCATAATACTTAATGTAATTAGACAAAATGGTGATACGATTGACATATACATAACCGATCGTAACAACAGAAGTAATAAATGCCCCTTATATGACCAAACACACAACTACGTTCAGAAACACGAGATACATGTTTTACGCTTAAACATTATAGGTAAAAAGGTTTGCATTGTGTCATTAAGGCGTAATAACTGTTTTCTTTGACAATAATCTCGTATTCAGCCATTTCAAG